CCCTTAAAATCCTTTCCTAGAGCTCCTCTTCCACACCAACTTCTTACACATAGCAAATGTAACACCCCCTAAATTCCATGCTATTTAAAGCCTTATACATGCAGATATCTAAACCAAAACATCAAACACAACGGAAGATCGAAAGAGGAAATATATATAAACTGGGAGTAAAGGGGTGCTATGCCACGCTCACCCAGAGGTGAACGCAGAGGCTAACATCTGCATTGTTCAAAATCCACAGGCCACAAAACATAAGGGAAGAGCTATACTAGCTAGCACTAAACTGCGCACTCGTCTAAGCATCACCTGAAAGAAACATTTAAAACATGGGACGACGCCCGGTCAGCGAATAATGGTGGTAACCTACAAATACATGTGAAATATCATACATAGGTAAGGTATATGTTTGTAAAGCCATTTCCGAAACGGAATATATACAGTCAACGCAAGACTCAAACACTTCCAACAAGAACACGAGAACACATCCCAAGACTACAAGGAATAACAACGACTCACAAGAAGTATCAAGGTATAATCTATCATCACACAATAGATTAACACCCGACATGCATAACTCAAAGGAATAAGGACACACCCAATGGCAACACATGCCTTTGTGACTACACACGTCACAAGAAGAGAACACACAACAACGGCTACACAAACCCTCGTGACATCACCCATCACAAGTTGATATGCCTTCCTTATGCCCGGTTCCAACCTTATAGCTACCCCCAACCTTATATCTAGTTCCAACCATTATGCCCAGGACCCCTGTACAACCAAGTCCAACCTTTTCCCTGCAAGGACCGTCGTCCCCATCCGCCGACAAACCGCCAACAAAACCACCAATTTCATAGTACACGAGGGTACCGATCACACACACAGCAATACAAGCCTCGACTACACATGCCTCCTAAGAAATACGTGAACCTGACACACAAGTCACAACACCATAATCACGTCAAGGCCACTACGAGGACCACTGCAATACCTTGGTGACTAGTGTCCCTACCACTAATCGTGCAATCCAGGAAAAGCCACACACACCACACCTCAATAGGAATCAATCAACGGATCACAACGAAGATATGGAACCATACTCAATTAAGGAATGGATCACAGTCCAACAACAACAACGATGAATATCACAAGTTATCATCAACCAATAGGAAGTTACAAACAACACACACGCTAGCATTTAAACACCGAACTAGCATGCTTATCAAACGGGTAAACCAAACGTAGTGCCGAAGAACACACAAGACTCATCATGGTTCAACGAAACACAGTGTCGAACACTTAGCACGATTCACGACACCAAAACCTACAAGGATCCCTAGACATACCAAACATCAAGAAGACACTCAAATAGTTCCACAAAAGAACATCGGGAAGTCAAAAGACCAAATACCGGGTCAAAAGAATCACGGGGAACAAATCCCCACACAACCATACATTGTACCCCGCGGGTGGACCCACGGGTAAGCTCCTACCCGCGGTTCCGCCCGCGGTACATTACCCACGAGGCTCTTCTACCCCGCGGGTGGGCGACGGGTGGAAGCCTACCCGCCGTTCCGCCCGCGGGTACGTAACCCTGTACCAAATAATCCCTTCGGGGATTTTCAACTCCTAGCTCAAATTCAAGTCCAAAACATGCCAAATCTCACCAAATACAACAAAATGACTTGAATCAAAAGAATGGCCAAGCAATGGCGTAAAAGAACCCTAAACACAAGCTCTATATATGTATTTTCACAAGACAATGCATAAACACTCACATTTCGTAGCAAAATCACATGTAGAATCCAAGAAATCATTATATGGGTAAGCAAAATAGATTTTGTACAGCATGGGTTACCTCATGAAGACAAAAACCTTCTCTTAACAACTCACCAAGCTCCTAACAAAGCTCACCTTCCAAACCCACTTTAAGAACACACCAAAAGATCATAAAGATTTTATCTTTAAGAAAAGACACCTTAGAAAACACTAAAAGCACAAGATGAACACAGATCTTACCCTCCTAGATGCCCAAATGTATGAAAGGTAGAATCTTGGAGACAACTCTTGAAGATTTGACAAAGCTTCAACTTGGTTTGGAAGAAAAGCTATGTACCTTTTTAGAGAGTAGGTGGAGCTAGAATTTGGAAAGTGTAAGGAGAGAAATGAGGGTGTTCTACTAGGTTAGCTTACAATACTAACACAGGGTGAAAAGTCAAGAATACCCTTACTAACATGAAGAGGTGTATGGGAACAAGGGAACTCCTTACAAAGCTTAAGGTACAACCTTGACTTTGGGGTTGACTAGTCAATTACTAGTCCCCGACTATTGAATTTTCAGGAATTAAGGAATTAAATTACCAATTGAAATATGATTAATTATTTAATGAATCCCTTAATTGAATTTGGATTTGGGGGTGTCACAACAGAACACAACAAAGATCGTAACTTTAGAAAAAGACACCTAAAAGGAGGTTAAAAACACCAAAAAGCTAAGGATCTTACCCATCCCTATGCTCAAGATGAAGAAAGTAGGAATCTTGGGAGAAAAACTTGCAAGGCTTGGATGCTCAAATTCTAGCTTGGAGAAGAAATACGTGAACCTGACACACAAGTCACAACACCATAATCACGTCAAGGCCACTACGAGGACCACTGCAATACCTTGGTGACTAGTGTCCCTACCACTAATCGTGCAATCCAGGAAAAGCCACACACACCACACCTCAATAGGAATCAATCAACGGATCACAACGAAGATATGGAACCATACTCAATTAAGGAATGGATCACAGTCCAACAACAACAACGATGAATATCACAAGTTATCATCAACCAATAGGAAGTTACAAACAACACACACGCTAGCATTTAAACACCGAACTAGCATGCTTATCAAACGGGTAAACCAAACGTAGTGCCGAAGAACACACAAGACTCATCATGGTTCAACGAAACACAGTGTCGAACACTTAGCACGATTCACGACACCAAAACCTACAAGGATCCCTAGACATACCAAACATCAAGAAGACACTCAAATAGTTCCACAAAAGAACATCGGGAAGTCAAAAGACCAAATACCGGGTCAAAAGAATCACGGGGAACAAATCCCCACACAACCATACATTGTACCCCGCGGGTGGACCCACGGGTAAGCTCCTACCCGCGGTTCCGCCCGCGGTACATTACCCACGAGGCTCTTCTACCCCGCGGGTGGGCGACGGGTGGAAGCCTACCCGCCGTTCCGCCCGCGGGTACGTAACCCTGTACCAAATAATCCCTTCGGGGATTTTCAACTCCTAGCTCAAATTCAAGTCCAAAACATGCCAAATCTCACCAAATACAACAAAATGACTTGAATCAAAAGAATGGCCAAGCAATGGCGTAAATTAACCCTAAACACAAGCTCTATATATGTATTTTCACAAGACAATGCATAAACACTCACATTTCGTAGCAAAATCACATGTAGAATCCAAGAAATCATTATATGGGTAAGCAAAATAGATTTTGTACAGCATGGGTTACCTCATGAAGACAAAAACCTTCTCTTAACAACTCACCAAGCTCCTAACAAAGCTCACCTTCCAAACCCACTTTAAGAACACACCAAAAGATCATAAAGATTTTATCTTTAAGAAAAGACACCTTAGAAAACACTAAAAGCACAAGATGAACACAGATCTTACCCTCCTAGATGCCCAAATGTATGAAAGGTAGAATCTTGGAGACAACTCTTGAAGATTTGACAAAGCTTCAACTTGGTTTGGAAGAAAAGCTATGTACCTTTTTAGAGAGTAGGTGGAGCTAGAATTTGGAAAGTGTAAGGAGAGAAATGAGGGTGTTCTACTAGGTTAGCTTACAATACTAACACAGGGTGAAAAGTCAAGAATACCCTTACTAACATGAAGAGGTGTATGGGAACAAGGGAACTCCTTACAAAGCTTAAGGTACAACCTTGACTTTGGGGTTGACTAGTCAATTACTAGTCCCCGACTATTGAATTTTCAGGAATTAAGGAATTAAATTACCAATTGAAATATGATTAATTATTTAATGAATCCCTTAATTGAATTTGGATTTGGGGGTGTCACAACAGAACACAACAAAGATCGTAACTTTAGAAAAAGACACCTAAAAGGAGGTTAAAAACACCAAAAAGCTAAGGATCTTACCCATCCCTATGCTCAAGATGAAGAAAGTAGGAATCTTGGGAGAAAAACTTGCAAGGCTTGGATGCTCAAATTCTAGCTTGGAGAAGAAGTTAAACCATTTTAGAGAGAGGCTAGAGCTTTTGTGTCTTTAGGTTGAAGTGTGAATAAAATGAAAGGGTCTTGCTAGGTTAGCTTGAATCACAATCCTTAGGTAGAAAGACATTCCTACCCTTACTAATGTTGGAAAGACAAGTGAACAAGCTCACAATTCAAGAAGCACAAGGTACAACCCTTTGACTTAAGTGACTAGCCAAAATCTAGTCCTTCGACTATTAAATTTCAGGATTTTTAGAAATAGATTAGCAAGGAGACTTGGATTAATTCTTCAATTAATCCTTGATTAGTGTTTGGATTTACGGGGTGTCACATCCTCTCCCCCTAACAAGAAGCTTCATCCCCAAAGCTTGGGCACGACGAGTTCAATCAAACAGGTAGCAACGAATTAAAATGTGACAAAAGGAAGCAAGAATACCATTAAACAAAACTTCAAGGATCCAAAGGTGTAAGATTTTCAAGAATCAAGAAATTGCAAGATTTGACAAGGTGTTTCTCAAGCAACACAAACACTAACACCACCTTAAGGACAGCTAGCAACCTACTACACCAAACCTAAACTCAAAACAACTAGGTTCTAACAAAGAAAGCAACTAAACCAACTACCCAAACAACAAGCTAACACCTAAGGCAAACAAGAGAACAACTAAACATAGCCAACAAACAACAACTACCAAACGGCAAACAAACAAACGAGAGAAGAACGAGCTTACGCCAAACTCCGGCCTAAGAGGAATCATCCTCTGAATCCTCGACATCCTCGTCCGAATCTTGCTCAACTCGACCACGGCTAGAACCGACCTCCAACCTATCTAACCTCTGATTGATGGTAACAAACTGAGCCTTCATGAAATAGAAGCCTTCCTCGATCATCTTATTCTGCTGTCGGAGGAGGGTCACCACACGTTCCTCGTTTGTCATTGCATCATGGTCTTTCTTGGTTCTCACTTCCTTCCTCCTTATGTTCTCTTCGATTTCAGAGTCACTCTCCTCGATCTCCTCTGCTTCTCCTCCTTCTTCTTCCTCTTCTCTCTCTTGTTCGCCTTCGTTCTCAACATCTCCACCCAAGCTCTACACCGCTAGGTTCAACTTTCCAACCGAAATCTCAAGCTCTTCAACCAACGAACTCCTCTCGGCAGGGGCTTTCCTTGCGACCTCTTCAAGAGTGATGTAGTCACCATCATCCAACTGAAACAGATTGCAACTGCGAAGATTTGTGGCATCTAGAACCATCTTGCCCACCGGCTTGGGCAGATAGCCTTCAACACTCACCCCTTTCTTAACAAAGAACCAACTTATAACCATGCCATAAGGCAAACTCTTTCGGTTATGATGTAACAACCCTAAAATTTAAAACATTAAATGCTTATGAAATAAAGGCAATACTATCACTAAACCTCGAAACAGAGCATAACTAATCATAACTACGTGTTTGGGGTGCTATGCCACATCTGAGCTGGAGAACTCAGATGCACAGGCTATACTATCTAAATATCCTCAAAAAATGTCAATACATCGTCATGGCATGCAGGCCGATAAAGAAACTAACTAACTAAGCTTCAGGTCATCTAGCGCGCTCCGGAGCTACTCATATGTGCCTGAAAGCCAAATATATCTGTTCAGTGAATAATGCTAGTAACCCACTCCAACGCGTTAAAATACAAAGTACGGACAAGCACATTTATCAGTTATAATCATGCATATAAAGATACTAGCATACACCCTAAGGTCACACATCCACATATCAATATTCAATCATTATCTCAACACATAAGCACACTTTGGTGGAGCCACAGGACCAATCGCATGCCCATACATGAGGGTCAGCGCATATAGCGCTAACACGGCCCCTAAGAACCCTGCCTCGTACCGCAGCACGAAGGGGTTGATCGAAACCAACCGATGAACCGCAGCTCATCATAACGTTTGATCGCAACCAAACGGTGGACCGCAGCCCAAATAGTATGTATTTCTGATCGCAACCAGATTATGACGTTTGATCGCAACCAAACGGTAGACCGCAGCCCTATATATATTTATATACCTGATCGATCGCATCCGGCATGGTTAACAGCTGATGGTTCTCAACCCATCCAACTGCCCGTAAAGCCAATTGATCGCAACCAATTAGGGTATCATGCACACATAACACGTAGCAAGCACATGCAACCCACATTAGCACATAGGGAAGGGGGAAAATGTATAAATAAAACTTATGCGTGGTCAACCACATACTAAGAATAAGCCTAAGAGGTTCATACATCTTTCACCTAGGCCAACGGGTTTCCAAATTCAACTAGCATGCAATACACAAGACTCTTTTATCCTACGAACGGTACCCGAAACATCAAACTAGACTCAGGCACGACAAACGGGGTCCGATGGGACACCATGGGGCCCGGGGAAACATCAAACGGGGAAAACCAGCAAGTCCCACTTGGCAAACCAGCGGTTGGCCGGCGGGTGGAGGACCACCCGCTGGCTGCCCGCCGGTGGCGCTATTCTGGGCAGCGGGTGCCCGGCAGGCAATCGCCTGGCCACCGGCTACCCGTTGCCGGCGGCCCTATTTGGGGCAGCGGGAAAGTGGCGGGATCTTTCGTGGAACCCGAAACCATGTCTAGACACTTTCAAACACAAACGAAGACACCACGTAATCAAGTAATGGATTAAAACCAAGAATGACATTAAATACATCCTAACATGACTTATATACATAATCAACACCCGAACATGCAAAATCCCACCCAAATATACGATTTAACCTAGGGCTCTAATCATATTTAAGATCATAACTTTATCTTTAAAATCAAGAACATCAAGATTATTAAGATCAACACACAATGATCAAGATCCTCATCAAGATCATCAAGATCAACGCATAAGATCATCTCATAAACATCAAGATCATATCACAATTATCATAAAAGCCTTATCAAGGCACGCGTATAGAATTGCATATCAAGGAGCCAAAGAAGAAGATTATTGTAACACCCCGTGTTACGACCCCTAACCCTAACTAGATATTTAATCACTTACCCTAAAAAGAGAAATAAAAACCCATTAATCAACTATGAAAGGCCCACCACAGTCCATGGGCCCACATCCCTATAACCAACCCCTTAGTCCTATAAGGAATAGAATTAGCAAGCCCATAGTATTTAGACCCCAATTAGGACTCTTAGGGATATACATATAGGAGGAACCCAGATCTTACACCACAATAATCTCTTACCACACAAAAAGTTCCAAGAATCCCCTTAGGAGAAATCAAGAAAGAAGAAAGCTTAAAGAAAGACCCTTCATAGCCAAGGAATGTAATTAAGGCTAAGAGGTAACCCATATCTCAACAAAACCTATTTTCTTCGCTATAATCTCCTTCCTTGGCCCCCCTCTATATTCCTGTGTGTTGATGAATTCCTCTATGATGATTATGTTATGATCCTGATAACTGATAAGATGATTTATGTGCTTTCTTGATAACCTTGATGATCTTGATGTTGAAAAGAAGTTCTTGATTTGATGTGATGATTCTTGACGAATCTTGATAGTTCTTGATGTTAAAGATAAATTATGATTTGGGAGGGACTAGAGCCCTAGGACGGGTTGGGAATTTGTGTTATAATGTTCTTGACATACATCGGGTGGGAATTCGCATGTTCGGGTGTTGTTTAGGTTTAGAAGTCGCAATAGGATGAGTTATACGTGATTCTTGCTTTTGATCCATTAATTGACTACGTGGTGTCGTTATTTACATTTAAAAGTGTCTAAGCATGGTTTCGGATTCCACAAAGGATCCCGAGGCGAATTTGTGATAAATGAGTCAGTGGGGGGTAGGTGGGGGTAGGGGTACCCGCCACCTACCCTATAACACCCCCCAAAAACAAGACCTAAAAACAAGTCTTAACACATGCAGATTAACAACAAAACTAGAACAGCGGAAGATAAACGGAAACTGGATAAAAGAAATCCAAACAGGGGTGTTATGCCACGTATACCACACTAGGTAACGCTAAGGCGACAATCTGCAAGTGTATCACACTAACCCAAAACATCAGTCTAAAAACAATCTAAAACCATTGGCGCGCAGGCCACAAAAACATAGTCTAAAGATATAGGTGCTAAGCTACCAGGCTCTAGACATCGCTCTCGACTACTCAACACCTGAAAGATACAAAGATAAACATCGGGGCAACGCCCGGTCAGCGAACAATGCTGGTAACCCACCAATACCGTTAAGTATCATAAATAGGTATATATAAGATATAAAAACCATTTTCGAAACGGAATACATATATATAAGTCAAAAGCCAAGATCAAGACACAACACAAGACTCACCACTCACAAGGATAACACCGGGAACACATCCCAACCACAAAGGTTAACCACACACAAGGATAAAGACTCACCCAATGGCAACACATGCCAAAACACCACAAGCCTCCGTGGCTACACACGTCACGAGAGAAGATCACACAACACCGGCTTTAAAAGCCCTCGCAACATCACCCATCGCGAGTCGGTATGCCTTCCTTATGCCCTGTTCCAACCTTATGGCTACCCCCAACCTTGTATCTTCTTTCCAACCATTACCTCCAAAATCCCTTGTACAGCCAAGTCCAACCTTATTCCTCCGGGACCGTCGTCCCCCATCAACAGACCACCAACGATCCACCACCAATCACGGCAACACATGCCCGGCTAACACAATGTTATCCCCCAATACGTGAACCTTTCTCGAAGGAACACAACTCCATATTCATGTCACGGCCACCACGAGGACCGCTGCAATACCTTGGTGACTAGCGTCCCATACCACTAATCGTGCAATCCAGGTAGAGCCACACACGCACCACCACTCACACGAATCAAACAACGGATTGCAAAGAAGGTATGAAACACATTCAATCAAGGAACGGGTCACAGCCCAACGACAACAACGATGTGTAACACAAGTTATCATCAACCAAAACAGAAGGTACGAACAACACCCACGCTAGCATTAAGACAACGAACTAGCATGCTTAACAACGGGGAAACTCAAGATAGTTCTGAGGAACACACAAGACACCTCTTGGTTCAACGAAACACAATGTTGAACACTTAGCACGACTCAAGACACCAAAGATCCTACATGGATACCTACCATATAGCTCTAGACCTACGAAACATCAAGAAGACACTCAAATAATTCCATAAAAGAAAATCGGGAAGCCAAAAGATCAAACACCACGACAACCAAATCATGGGGAACAAATCCCAACATCACCATAACCATGTACCCGCGGGTGGACCCACGGGTAGTGCCCCACCTGTGGTCCCGCCCGCGGGAACAATATCCCACAAGGCTGTACCCGCGGGTAGGGGTGTAAATGAGCCGAGCCGCTCGCGAGTCGCTTGTGAGCGGTTCGGTCAACGCTCGGCTCAAACTCGGTCAAAATCGAGCTTGGTTCGAGCTCGAGCAGCTCGTGGATTAAACGAGCACGAGCCGAGCTTAGGTATTGTAGGCTCGCGGCTTGACGAACCGCTCGCGAGCCTTATAATATATTATATAATATATAATATAATTATATTGTATTTAGTATATAAAAATAATAATTAGGGGAGGGAAATTAAAATACTTTAATAATTATGTAGGGATAAAAGTCATAAAACAAAGTAGTTTAAATTCTAAATCAAACAGGTTAAATTTGAGATCAAAATTGAGCTCAAATTCGAGCCTAAACTCGAGCTCGAATTCGAGCTCGAGCTCGAACAATCGAGCTGTTCGAGCTCGAGCTCGAGCAGCTCGACAATTGCCGAGCTCGAGCTCGAACATCAGTTCACGAGCTCGAGCTCGAGCAGTGCTATCATTAACGAGCATGAGCATGAGCCTACCCAGGCTCGGGCTCGGCTCGGCTCGTTTACACCCCTACCCGCGGGTAGGCCGGCGGGTGGTGCCCCGCCCGCCTTTCCGCCCGCGGGAACATACCTGTTCCACAACAAATCCCTTCGGGGATTTTCTCCTCCAAACACAAATTCAAGTCCAAAACATGCCAAATCTCACCAAACACAACAAAATGACTTGAACCAAGGAACATGCCAAGCAATGGCACAAAGGAATCCTAAACACAAGCTTTAGATATGCAATATCACAAGATAAATGCATAAACCCTCACATTTCATAGCAAAAACACAAGTAGAATCCAAGAAATCACATATAGGTAAGCAAAATAGGTTTTGTAGAGCATGGGTTACCTCTTGAAGACCAAAAGACTTCTCTTAACACGACAACCAGCTCTCCACTAAGATCAATAGCCAAACCCAC